TGGGACACCAAGGTATTTTTAGCTGGTCTCTATGTCTGCTATGTGGCCCACTGGTAGTTCCACTCCATCGGTCTTAACTACCTTCCCTCTCTTTACTATCATCCGCCCACACTTTTCCAGTCTGAATGACATTCTAATGTCCTCACTGTAGATCCATGTCAGGTGGATTAGTGAGTCGATGTCTCGTTCACTCTTAGCATACAGCTTGATGTCATCCATGTAGAGGAGGTGGGTGATGGTGATTCCACTCTTGAACTTGTACCCATATCCAGACCTTGTGATTATCTGGCTGAGGGGCTTTAAGCCTATGCAGAACAGCAGTGGGGATAGTGCATCAATTATATAATCATATATAATATAATATAATATAATATAATATAATATAAATAAATGCACTGTATATCAGTTGACTCAGAATGCATCCAAACTATTCCATTTCAGATTAGTTCCTCGCTTGAATGGGACCAATTTTTGAACATTTTTCTTATAATATGTACAAGGTTCCTCCACTTGGTACTAATCATACAGTATTTCTGTGGCACATATGAACCTAGATCAACTGGTACCTCTTATCAAATGGAAATAGAAAAAATCTCCAAACAAAGGCTAATGGTCATCTATATGAAATGCTTTAGTGGATCCTGCCCTGAGAGGGGGTTAGACTCTGTAGTTGGACTAAGGTACTTTATAACTCTAGGATTCTAGGAACAGAAGAAATCAACAAATCTTCATGAACTCCTATTTTAGAAAGTATTTTAAGAGTATTGCTGTTTCTTCTTGAGCTGAATCTCATTACTGAAGCAATAAAGGGTCTGAATAGATTGTTATTTATTTTTTTAATTATTTAAAACACTTTTATGTTAGCTAATATTACATGCCATTAAAAAACCACAAAATTATAACAAAAATTCCCAGCATCCCAAAGGCAAACACTCTTCCATCCTTCAACATTGAATTTTGAAGAGTTCCAAAAGTAAGTATAATACGAAGAAGCTCAAATGTTTTCTTGACATCTAAAAAACTAAATATACCAAGGGATGTACTGATTCCTTGAACTAGCCACTTTTGCAAAATATACAGTAGTAAGAAAGTAAGAATTGGATACCTTCTTTCTCCATCTGTAGCAAATAGAAATCATTATATCTATTCAACAGTAGTGCTGAGGGGAGAGCATCCAGATTTCCCAAGTGAAAGCCCTCCTGTGAGATACATGGAGCTACTAAATGATACAGATATTAGGGAATTGTAAGAGGGGAGTGTGTGAACTCATTGGAGAAAAGCTAGGAAGTGTTGGTTCTGTCTCTTTCTAATTCAAGTTCAAGATTTCTCTGCTTGAGCTTCTCCAGACTTCATCCAAGCCAGCATGAATACAAATTGCAAGGGGTGGGTGTTTAGGCCTCAGTAAGCCAGGTCATCCCTTATTGGTTTCTGCCAAGAAGACTGGTATCTGTCAGAACTAGTTGGAAATTTACCTCCCCTCATTTGCTGAAGCCAATACTTTAACCAGCAGAGTTGTAATCAAACCTCAACTGAGATACAGCCAGGTTCTCACTGAAGAAGTACATTAGCAACAGAGTGGGGAACGTGGAGTAAGGACCTTAAAAATTTAGATTGTACAGCTGCTAATGTATGGATAATCCTGTAATTGCCACATCTCCACCATACAGCAAAACACCTAGCACTTTGGCTTTGAAATGATTAATTGCTGCAGGCATGCAATTGCTACTCGTACAGGTTGAATATCTGACGATTGTATTAGGAGCTGTTTCAGCTCACAAAGAAAGGTGTGAAGAGTGCAACTTCCAAGAAGATGACTGGAAATAGTTGCCACCTAGTGAATACAACCACCTTGGTTTTTGTATGGTGGATTTCTAACATTTCAGAATAGAAGGAGGATGATAATCCATGAAGGCTGCATCACAACCAGGCAAGATCACAACATTGTCAGCATGTAGGAGAATGGAGACTGATTTACTGGTCACAAAAAAAAAAGGATGAAATTCAGTTTTGCTAAGGGCCAAACAATATCATCGATATAAAAAATAATCAAGATATTTTTTTAGATACATACATGCTTCACTCCCTTACAGGTTGGGAAGGGTCAGTCAGATCTCCACTTCTAATCCCTTCATGCAACTTCGTATAATATATTTACAGTAGTTCAACATGGCATGAGAAGCACAAGATGGCAATTGGACAGATGTTGTCAGCAATTGCCAGTGGAGTTATGGAAAATCAGATGGAAAGAAGAATAATAAACTTTGTTTCTATGTTCATAAAGGGAAAGAAGGGGGACCAGGGAAACTACAGTCCACTTGATACTGTCAGCTTGGTGTCTATACCAGACAAGTTCCTCAAGTAGATCATTAAAAAATATGCTTGTGAGCACTTGAATGGTAATGCATTAATTGACAAAAGCCAGCATAGCTTGGCCACAAACTAGTCACATCAGACTAACCTTATTTCCTTTTTTGATTATTAGCTAAATAAGTACATAAAAAGCGGAAGAAGGGAGATCTGGAGGACCTTGACCCTGATGGCCTTCAAGAAAGCTGTGAAGAACTGGCTTTTCTCCAGGCACTGGGCCAGAATGCTATCTGAGCCCAAAATAGGTGTGGTTTGTGTGACTGTGTCTTTTAGAAAGTGCCTTGCTTATTGCATTATGATGATTTAGTTTAATCCTGTTTCTTACTTGATTTATACAGGTTTTGTTTTTTGTTCATTGTAGCCAGCCACCCAGAGTTCGTATGTAAGAGGGGTAGCCATATCAATTTTCTAAAATAATTTTCTAAGATATATCAGAGAATGCTGTAGACATTGTGTTCTTTAACATCAGCAAAGCATGTGATCAAGTCTTCATGATGAGCTCACTCATAAAATGGCAAAATATGGGCTAAATTGTACAACTGTTTATGGGCTGGGTGGCTATACCCAAAGAGTGCAAATTCATGACTCCACTTCAGTTGTTTTGAGGAGGGGGAAGAATCCAGTGGAATGCCACAGGTGGTGATGGGCTACTTTAACTGAGAACATTTTTGCACTGGCTGCCAGTCAGCATCTGGATGCAATTCCCTGGGTGTCTCGATTTCTGCAACAATGTCATACTCCAATTATCTACATCTGCCCATCCTATTAGATCTAAGAGTTGGTTAAAGGTTGCTGTAGGTCCCACTGAAAAGATTCTGTCATCATGAGGGATCTAGGAGACGTATCTTTTCC